ATGTAAGATAGATTCTGGAGCGAAGAATATTGCTGATTCTTCTTTGAATCTTATCAAGGAGCTCAAGGTAAATAGCAGTGGAACCGGACCATATGTGGCAGCAATATTCTAAGCATGGACGAGTGGTAGACTTATAGATATGTAAGATAGATTCTGGAGCGAAGAATATTGCTGATTCTTCTTTGAATCTTATCAAGGAGCTCAAGGTAAATAGCAGGGGAACCGGACCATATGTGGCAGCAATATTCTAAGCATGGACGAGTGGTAGACTTATAGATATGTAAGATAGATTCTGGAGCGAAGAATATTGCTGATTCTTCTTTGAATCTTATCAAGGAGCTCAAGGTAAATAGCAGGGGAACCGGACCATATGTGGCAGCAATATTCTAAGCATGGACGAGTGGTAGACTTATAGATATATAAGATAGATTCTGGAGCGAAGAATATTGCTGAATCTTCTTTGAATCTTATCAAGGAGCTCAAGGTAAATAGCAGGGGAACCGGACCATATGTGGCAGCAATATTCTAAGCATGGACGAGTGGTAGACTTATAGATATGTAAGATAGATCTGGAGAGAAGAATATTGCTGATTCTTCTTTGAATCTTGTCAAGGAGCTCAAGGTAAATAGCAGGGGAACCGGACCATATGTGGCAGCAATATTCTAAGCATGGAAGTGTGGTAGACTTATAGATATATAAGATAGATTCTGGAGCGAAGAATATTACTGATTCTTCTCTGAATCTTATCAAAGATCTCAAGGTCAATAGCAGGGGAACCGGACCATATGTGGCAGCTATATTCTAAGCATGGACGAATGGTAGACTTATAGATATGTAAGATAGATTCCGCAGAGAAATAATGGTCTCACACGACATAGTGAATCGATTTTTCTCAGTGTTTAAAAAAAAAAAAATAACAGGCGTTTATTCGAATCACGGGTATACATTAAAATAACATTAAGTGTAATACTTCAGACCTTTCCCAACAATATTTGTGCGAAAGCGAATGCAACAAACCCGACTTGATTTCACCGATTTCTGCTTTTTTTTACACCACCCACGCCACCGTTTTTGTAATTTAATTCAACCATCTATAATCCAAGCTGGCTTAGAATTCATGAAGTCGGATTAGAAAACTTAGATTTTTTTTTACTACTGGTTTAAATTTGCCACAAGGCTACAGTTCTTTGTCGCCGGGAAGAGAGCTCACTGTAAATGGCTTGCCAGACGGAACATTCGGTAATATAATCATCAAAACTTGACATCGTCTACGTAAAGCCAGACTTGAGAGGTTCAACAACATACTGTCCCTAAAGCAGTCACCGAGGCGGAATTACGAGTCACTATTCCGTGTCGTTATTGACTGCGTAGGTCGGTCTTGTGCAAGGAGGTGTGGCAGATTCAAATCCGATAAAAAAGAAAAGAGCAACGTTCGTTTATTGTATAAGAGAGTTTTCGTAAACTTCACGGCCTGGTCCCGTTTTGAAAAGCAAGCTTTTCGAAGTTTCTTTTGTTCGACTTCTCTGTGCGGTATTTTTCTTTGTGATTCAAGGATTGTTCGTGAAGGAGTGAAAACGACGACATGTCATCGCCACGAAGAACAGCTGGAATGTTGCTTTTCTTTTCATTATCTTGCTCTCTTTCTTTCTTTCTTTCTTTCTTTCTTTCTTTCTTCTCTTTTCTTTTTTTCTTTCTTTTTCTCCCTCTTTCTTTTTTCTTTTCTTTCTTTCTTTCTTTCTTTCTTTCTTTCTTTTCCTCTCTTTTCTTTTCTTTCTTTCTTTCTTTCTTTCCTTTTTCTTTCTTTCTTTCTCCTCTGTTCTTTTTCTTTTCTTTCTTTCTTTCTTTTTCTTTCTTTCTTTCTTTTTTCTTTCTTTTTCTTTCTTTCTTTTGTTTTCTTTCTCCTTCTTTTTCTTTCTTTTCTTTCTTTTCTTTCTTTCTTTCTTTCTTTTTCTTTCTTTCTTTCTTTCTCCTCTGTTCTTTTTTCTTCTTTTCTTTCTTTTTTTCTTCTTTTCTTTTTTCTTTCTTTCTTTCTTTCTTTCTTTTCTTTCTTTTCTTTTCTTTTCTTTCTTTCTTTCTTCTTTCTTTCTCTTTTTCTTTCTTTCTTTTCTTCTTTTTTTTTCTTTCTTTCTTTCTTTTTCTTTCTTTCTTTCTTTCTTTCTTTCTTTTTTTCTTTCTTTCTTTCTTTCTGTTTCTTTTTTCTTTTCTTTCTTTTCTTTCTTTCCTTCTTTCTTTCTTTCTCCTTTTCTTTTTTTCTTTCTTTTCTTTTCTTTTCTTTCTTTTCTTTCTTTTTTTTTTTCTTTCTTTCTTTCCCCTCTGTTCTTTCTTTCTTTCTTTCTTTCTTTTTCTTTCTTTCTCTCTGTTTCTTTTTCTTTCTTTCTTTCTTTCTTTCTTTCTTTCTTTTTCTTTCTTTCTTTTCTTTTTCTTTCTTTCTTTTCCTTTCTTCTTTCCCTCTGTTCTTTTTCTTTTTCTTTCTTTCTTTCTTTTTTTCTTTCTCCTCTT